CCCGCATCCGCCTCTGCCCCCTCTTCCGCCCCTGACTCCACCTCCACCCCCGCCTATGCCTCCGCCCCGGCTGTGCCCCGCTTCCCTTCTCTCGGCCAACGACCGCTTTTAAACGCCGCCGCTAGTTAGAAGTGTAACAAGTAAGTGCCTCCTCGTCTCGTTACGTCACGCTGGACAACAGAAAACATGAGGGGATTATGAGTGCAGTGTTGAGAGCTTATGCGAGGAGCTGGGTTGGCAACCGGTGTCGCATATCCTCATGCAAATACTAGGTTCTGTGTAAGAAGACACGTTATGAGAGCGAATATGCAGCACAAATAACCCTGAGTTTGGTAAATAACATTAAAAGATTGGCTCCTATCGATTTTAACCGTAGTTTCTACAGACAATCCTCGGCAAATGTCGCAGTAGTATCTCGATGGCGGGGAGCGCATATCGTGTTTAATCCTTCATTCCAAATTACCTTTTGGTTCTGGATTTCGTTTGACAAGTGCCAGATAGTGAGTTAGAACAATGAATTCTAGTTCTATTGTACCTTTTGATTACACTTTGAGAGAACACGCTTGCCGTTCAGTTGCATACCCTAGCACAAAGTTGAATCATTAAACTTTGTGATGAGCAATAATATAATAATAATAATAATAATAATAATAATAATAATAATAGTAATAATAATAATAATAATAATAATAATAAAATAAAAAGCCGGCCCCGTGGCACAGTCGGTTGCGGAATCCGCCGTCTGCACGGAGGAGGCAACAGGTTCGAGTTCTGCGTAGACACAGACGTATTTGTGATTGTTCCTTCACCCCCATCATCATCCTATTCACCTATAATTCACACGCCAAGGCGTGACAACCTTGTCGTACTGAGGGATACAGCTGAAAAGCTGATCCTGGGAAAATTACACATCTCAATCGTGTAACGTGGTCAGTAATGGCCTATACGCGAATAATAATAATAATAATAATAATAATAATAATAATAATAATAATAATAATAATAATTCATCGCGATATGCAAAAGAAGTAGGATTAAATGCCTTCTCTCCCCCAGAACGTAAACAGATAATTCCCTAATTGATACCGTGGAGACATATGCGTTACAGAAAAATCAGCGCAGCGCGCGCCGCAGCTATCGTTTACGGCGGAGCCACGCCAAGTGGGCGCAAGAGAAGTGGCTCGTAAAACAGTGAGTCAGCTATGGGGGCTGCAGTGCCTCCTCGCACTAGACAAAGCGGGCAAGAGGACCTCGCGAAACTGTCCCGTCCTCAGTTCAGAAACTGAACGAATAACACTCGGAGAAGCGAAGTGGGCAATTCGTTTTTATCGCACTTTTAAATGCAAATGAATTTGACGCGTTCAGGAAAGGGGAAACTGTGGCTGATTCACAATTTTCTCGCAATGAAATGAATTTAGGCTGTGTAATGTGTTCAGGAAGAATGTTGGGGCTCTTTACTTTGGTAACTATCTTTACTGCATCCATCGTGCACACAACTGCTATCACTTTTACTATCATATTACTGGTACAGATAAAAATATTTCAATAATGTATTAATGTAAATACATGCTTTTTTTTACATCTGCTGTACTGCTTTAACATTTTATCAATATGACACAAAGAACCCAAAGGACCTCTTTGTTTTCTCTTTGCAACCATTTGTTAACCAATGTTGTGGCACAACAATAAATTTAATACTCTACCAATATAATTGCAGTAAGGACTGCAGCACGTTAATATATTCACCTTCATGTAAACTGCTCATAAACTTTGTTAAATATACTTATATCCAGTTAAAATCACACTACGATATTACACGCCGTTGCAGACGGATAAAACACGCGTAGTGTTTTACAATGTCCAGGTACAAATACTGTAGAATTGTAGACATTCGGAATTGTCTCACGCGCCATTTATGTAGTGCTAACTTACATCTTTGGAAAACGTTAAAACTTCGAACACTGTTGTTTTACGTGCTTCATAAACATTCTAACAAGACAGCCATCAAAGAGTTATCTTGACGCACGCTAGAGATTCAAGAAGCTTCCTTTAAAGCAGTCTGGACCTGGAACCTGTGGGATACAGGTTTTACTGTTATCTCAAAGGTGAGGTACACGCAAAATCTGTAAGATATCCCGGAGGGATACGAGATACTTCAGTCTTCGAATTATACCTCACATTTCTTGTTTTTCTCTTTCAATAGAATAACGTGTGAATATTTAACTTCCTATCCATATTCTTGGTGTACACGAGATTCTTGTGTACATTTGTAAGCACAATGCCTTAGTTCTAGAGCTGAAGAACAAGCTAATATCAAGTTTTACGATATCCATTCACACAGTGTTGCAAAATTGTTGACAACACGCTGAATCTGTTCAACAATGATTTCTTTAAGACTTTCATACTTACCGATCAAAGAAAGGGACATGTAGAACTTCATACAATTTCGCCCCACAACATTCTAACACCACAGCCGTATAAGCCGATCCGTGATTTGAGCCCGCTGAGGACGCTGGCACCAGCTCGGACCAGCAGCCTGCCCGGATCCAGGGTTCCCTGATCCCTCAAATACGAGAGAGAGAGAGGGCCGTGCAGGCGCTCAGCTATTCCGGAGGGGAGTTCAAGTCACGATGGTCTCCGGATTATGTCTGGCACATCTTACTTTACTGCCTCCCGACGCCGCGAGCAGGTTTCCGTTATTGCCGCGCGTATGGGTCCGCGTGGGAGGGGCCGGGCGTGCAGGGCACTCACCGGCGGCGGAGGCGGGATGGAGTCCTGCGGAGGCCGCTGCGCCGCTTTATAACGCACGCGCTGACTAAGCAATCGATTGTACGTTCAACTGGTTACACGAGTTTCGAATGCGACAGGTTCGATAAGAATGAAATAAACACGACTCGGCTTCTCGCGCTTCAATATGAAGTTCACAGAATAAATTCCGAAGGAGATTGTGATAATCAACTTCAAATGTGCGGATTGCTCTTCGAGAAGTCATTTCTTCACATGGACATCTTTACGCTATCTGTTTTTATATAGTTAACTTAGTTTCATACACGCTGGACGGTAGCTCGCATTGTTTGATGCATGAAGACTTGTGCAGCTTCCACAATGTGTACTTCCGCTATCCTTGAATGACACTACGTGTCTCATTATTTGCCGAAATATCCAAATATGATGAAGCCAACAGTAAAAGTTTGTAGGGAAGCACATTATAAAAGACGTTATTGAGAACACAGCTGCATGCGGGTAAAGAGAAGAGGAACCCTACTAAGGAGAAATTAGAAGGGGGGAGAGAGGGGTACAACCCTGTGTTGAATCATTTAGGTAGCAGTCCAGAGAGCTGTTAGGATTTGTGATGGGGAAGCGGCATGACTCAAGTTTTGAGTTTTATGCTCTTAAGGCAAGCATTTCGAGTTGGATTTTTAAGGAGCCAACGGGGGATCAGGATAAAGCGAGATCCCTTGGTACCCTACTTTGGGCCCTAATAAGAATACTGATAACCAGTAAAAGCCACCAGTTTGGCCTCCATTATAAGAGAAACGTAGCTCCAGATAGTCATATGGCACATCGGGAACTGTGTTTCAGAGAAGGTTCAATCCTACGCTCCTCGCAACGGAGTAAAGAACGCATTGTATCACAGCGTCATTTGATACACCCACATCACAATTCTTTCGCAAAATGTGAAAATCGGCATGGCAAGAATGTTAATAGGATTGTCTTAATTTTGTCGAAAATTAGTTTTCCGTGGTTTCTCCGATCAATACCAGGCGAACACCGAAGTGTTCCCTAACAAACAGGTCACGGACTGCGCGCGACCTTTCCTTCCCTTTAAAAGTCACACGTACTACACTCACTGGCGGAACCAGAGAGGGGTATGGGGGCTACGCCCCTCCTCCCAAAAAGCAAAGAGATTCCGTTTTCCTTCCTTTATTTAGCAAAACTGATGTTCGAATTATGTAATTATTTAAACAATAATATTGTATAGTATATGTCTACAGTATATAAATAGTATACAATATAATAAGAAATAAGTTTATTTAATAAAAGTCTATGATGGCCCCTCCAAACTAATCGGTTGAATCCGCCCGCCCCTGACTACACTACCAAACATGTTCGGAAACCAGTCAGGAGCTTGCAGCTTGTACAGTCTGTGGGGATATCCCGCTGGGACGGACATATGGATGAGTAAATCCGTAGAAAGATGTGTAGGTCGGTCCCAAATCTCACCATCGAGCAGTGGAGAAACACTGCCATCTCCTGGTTTAAAACATTCACCATACTAATGAAACTATTGACCATAGCAGTTGAAGTGGCCGCAATCAATCAATATTCATGAACATGTGGCGTACGACTACAGGCTGGCCACTAATTTCCTGACTTTTTCAGGTTACCGGTGCAATCTTTTTTCGCTGATAAGATTTGTGGAGTATTTCGTGTTATTTGAAAATATTAAAGCAAGCCTGATTATAATGTGTAAGCTCTCATTTCTCCGTAATACATTACAAATTTTTAAAAAAGTACAATTAAAAATTGAGTCACTATATTTTGCTGAACTAATGCTTTTAAAAAAATAAAATCTAGTTATACAACAAAATCACAAAATTATCCCAGAATTCTAACGATTCTTCACAAATTTCCTGATTCTCCCCAGACTTATCCAGAGCAATGAAATTCCCTGATTTTTCTAGGTATTCCATTTTCTCCAGAAAGTGGCCACTGTGGAGAGCCAATGCCTGCGTGTCGCTGCGACAACTCACCGTGGATGGAGGCGGTGGGGCTGGCGTGCTGCAGCGACGAGTAGAGGTGCTCCATGTACGGGTTGAGGCGGTAGGCGGGGTGCAGGTCGGGCGGGGGCGGAG